ATGGTGGTCATGATTCGGCAGGAGATGGGATATCCAACTTCAAAGAAGATCGGTAAACCATACCACAAAGGCCGGACTGCTAGGGTTGAGAGGTACATACAAACAGTACGACGACAAGCCAGTGCACTGATGGCTAGTGTTGAAGGGAACATCCATGAGTTGCTTGACGATTTGCGTTGTCTCAGAGCATGGTCGTTGGTACATGCAGTATTCCTGTTGAACAGATATCATGAGCACTCAGCAATCCGAGCAACCTCCTATGAGACAGTGTTTGGACGCAAGTACAATGGGAAGATTTTGCCTTTTGGAGAATTTGTTTTTGGATTGCGCCAACCCGTGAAGAAGAAAGGCACTAGTGTTTGGCAAGGAGGTATCTGGGTTGGAAAGGACGAAGCAGACATGCGTGTGTTGTTGACACCTGGTGGACAAATTCGTACAAGGTCGGTGAGGAGGTGTTCGCATGCATGGCGTCCAGATGTGGTGTTGGCATTGACGTCTTCTCCATGGACAAAGGAGAAAGGTTCTGGCCCAGTGGGGATCTTGGAAGCCCCATTGCCCACGATTGAGGAGAAGCATGAAGGTCCAGAGCCTAGGCAGCCAATTTTGTTGCAGAGTGGTGAAGTTGATGAAGATGCAGAAGAAGTGTTTGGATTGGGTTCCTATGAGCCAACAGAACCTGGCAGCCTACATTCTGGAGAAGGTCAAACGGCGATGGAGGCCGAACCGTTGGAGCGGCTAACGGACACGCAAAGGAAAAGTTTGCTTGGGATACCAACCATCCCGACAACTCCTACGAGGCCATTGGAGGTGGATCATGAAGGTCAGCCAGCTGAGAAGAGAGAAGCAGAGGAGTTGGAGGAAGAAAGAGGAAGCAAAGCAGCTAGATTTGAGCGTGAGACAAGCCCTCAGTCAAGTCCCAAAGCTTTGTATTCCCCGTTGTATGCAGGCGGCGTGAATCAAGTCAACATGCCGCATGGTGATGCTTGTTGGGAGGAGGATGTTGATTGGGAGTTGATAGAAGATGAGATGGGTGATTTTGAACCCGATTTTTATGGTGAACGACCTCCGAACTTGTCTCCAGAAGAGCTGAATGAGCTTGATGCAGAAGCAATGAAGGTGGAGATTGAGAAGCTCACGGCCATGGGTGTTGTACAAACACTGAAGGAGCAGGAGATGGATCCAGAAGGCAAGTTCATAGACCTCAAGGAGGTGTACGATTGGAGGTATCGAGACGGCAAATGGAAGAGGCGCTGTAGAGTGGTGGCTCGAGAGTTCAGAACAGGTCCCTCTACAGATGAGACTTTTTCGCCTACATCTTCCTATGCTGTGGTCAGACTGTTTTTATTTTGCCATCTTTTCTTTGGATGGAAGGTTGCAGCTTTGGATATTTCTGACGCCTATTTGACAGTGGTGCAGAAAGAGATCTGTTACGTGAAGATTTCTCAGTGGATGAAAGAGTTGCTGAAGCTGCCCGAGAACTCCCTGTGGCAATTGAAAAGAGTGCTTCCCGGACAGAGGAACGGTGCTCAGAGGTGGGTCCAAGATTTCTCGCATCACTTGCAGGAGTTGGGATTTGATTCATGCACAGCTATGCCCTCTGTGTTGAGGCATCGCACAAAGAAGTTGGCTATCAGTATTCATGTTGATGATGAATTGGTAGTTGGAGAGACAGTTGAAGACATTGAATGGGTGATCAGTGCATTGAAGAAAATCTACAAGTTGCAGGTGGAAGGTCCGATGCCGAAAGAATCTCTTGGAAACGGAGAGGAACTCAATTATTTGAAAAAGACGTATGTGTTCCAGGAGGACGGTGTCTATGTGAGACCCAATTCGAAGTTCACCGAGACTCTCGTCAAATTGTATGGTTTGCAAGATCGGAAAGACAAACAGGTGCCCGAACATAGCTTGCTTGGAAGTCCAGATACGTCAGCAGAACTAGATAAGAAACGGCAAGCTGATTTCAGGACTGGTTTGGGTACAGCAATGTACATGTCGCATGAGCGTTTGGACATTCAACATTGCGTGAAGACATTGGCTGGATCAATGAGAACACCTACAGAGCAAGCTGAGAAATGTTTGATCCAACTTTGTTTGTACCCCAAGGAACAGCAAATTTGTCATTTCGGCTTCCATACACACCAGTTGGTACAAGGATGTCAGGTAAGTTGAACAACAGGCCGGAGCATGAAGTTGAAGACAACGTACATGTGATGGAGGTATTTTGCGACAGTGATTGGGCTGGTGGTGCACAGAGGAAATCAACAACATCAGTTATTGTGCTGTTGAACGGACTTGTAGCCCTTTCGTACAGTCGAACACAAAAGGCTGTTGCATTATCCTCATGTGAGGCCGAAGTTCTTGCATTGACATCTGGTGCAAGCGAGGCAATTTTGTTGAAAGAGGTTTGGTCATTTTTGAACAATGGTGAGATTTTGTTGGAGGCCAGGAGCGATTCGTCGAGTGGCAGACAATGGTTGCAGAGAAGTGGCCTTGGACGTCTCAAGCATATAGATGTGAGATTGTGTTGGTTGCAAATGGCAATCCGTGAGAAGGTTCTGAAAGTGCTACCCGTATCAACTCAAGTGAACATTGCAGATTTGAACACAAAGAAGCTCACGGCAGCCAGGAGGCATTTCTACTTTCCTTCATTGGAGCAGTTCGTTTGAACGATGAGAACGAAGTTGTGGAGGAAGTTGGAGAAAGTGAACAGTTGAATTATTTTGCAGAGCAGCAATGGAAGCAGCAAGTTCGACAGGTGAGCAAATGGATGAAATCACGCACAAGCAAAGCATTGGTTCATTGTGCACTTCTTGGTCAGGCTTTCAACATGAAAGGTTGTGCTGAAAAGGAAGAGGAGTTGGTAAACACCGAACAAAACCAATTCTGGATGACAGTCGCAATTTTCATTGTTCTTGGATGTTGCAATTGATTGTATCAGCATTGGGAGCAAGTTGTGGCAAGAGTTGGTCGTCGTGGCCAAAAGCGGCCTAGAGGAGGTGGAGATGCAGTTGAACCGGAGACCAGGTCTGTGAGGCGAGTGGTTGCAAATGAGAATGTGGAGCCAGGATCAAGTAGCATGGCTGGACCAATGACTTCAACAGGTCATATAGAACCACGTCCCCCGCTGTTTCCGCCGATGCCCATTGATCCTCCAGAGCGATGGGCACCATGGTCGCCTGAATGGTTCACTTATTGGATGTTGGGGAGAGTTGAAGCCAGAATCACAAGGCGAGCTGGCAGAATGGATGAGCGGGAGAGAAAGAAGTACATGAAGAGGAGAGAGATTTTGCGGTCAGTTTTGATGGTTCTTGAACAGCGTCCTGGAGAAAGAGCCAGCAGAAGGGCTCACGAGTTTTGTCAGCAGATGACAGACCTTTCGGTGGATGAAGAGAGTCCTCAAGCTCCTGAAGTGCCAGATCTCCCGGAGCCTGCAGCAGAACCAAGTGGAGCAGCGGGAAGTTCGCTGGAAGGCATGGGAGAAGAGAGTGGTTACTTTGATCAAGATCGAGTTCCTGGCAGGAGTTTAGAGGCTTCCAGTGAGGCGGCGGCGGCGATGTCAAGACCTGATCGAGATGACACTGGTGAAGGAAGCGAGATTGAGGACAGCGAGAGCGAAGACACAAGGGTGGCTAGATATTTGAATAGTGGAATAGAAGAAGTTTCTGATCCTGAGATGTGGATGAATTTGCATTATCTTTCCTCTGATTTCGAGATTGACAATGAGGAGGAGCAGCCGAGCGGATCGACAGGACATTGACTGTTGGTGGTTGAATTTTGATTGGTTTACAATTTCAATGCATTGATAGGCTGACTGAACCATCTGAACCAGCAGCCTATACAGTTGATTTGGTGTAAGGTTGCACCAGCTGAACCAACCTTACATCAATACACGACATTTCTGGACACTACGAAGCATTTTGCGGTTTAGAATTCACGAAAGTTTTGTTGAAATAGCATTGGAACAATGCCGGAACGGTCCATACTGTACAAAGTATGTGAATGAGGAAAACTCCAGGTGGACTTAGCCTGAGGCCACTTAGCAGAAGTGGTATCTGGAGTTGGGAAAAGCTCGGCTAGAACGCCGAGCTTTTAGGCGGCGTGTTAGTTTATTTCAGTTCACTGATGTGCTTGTACATGAGATGTGAAGTGTAGTATCTGTTCTTATCTTACTTCGCCGCGTAGCGTGTGGGTCCAAAACAGGGCGCTGCCAAACACACTCTCACATTGCTTCTTGGAGCTTCTTGACTGCAACACGTTGGCTGAGTGTCTACGCTGGCTTACTTACTTCCCCTCCCGTCTCAGGTTTTGCAGCAGGGGAACTGGAACCGATTTGCTTATCCAGTCCGACGAAGCTACGCAATCACGCGTCGAACTTGATTTTTTAAACCTTTCGAAATTTTGAGCTTGCTAAGCCTTCTTTGCCCAGTCTACTTGATTTTTTTGTTTTATCGCTGCTTTTCTCAGGCAACTGTTCACTTGTGCCATCTTATGCCCTACAATATAGGCGGTGGTGCAATCAGATCATGTTATATCTCGAGTGTGTGCGTGTGTGTGTGTCAGTTTCCACTTCCACATTGAGATGCTTTTTGGAACGCACTCAATTGCGGTTGAAGCAGAAAAGATCTCAATGGCTGAGCGCGGAAATGGTTTCGTCGGAGGACTGAGGTTTTTCCTAAGGGCCCCGCTGCTCCAACGGCTGAAACACTTCCCAACGGCTGCATCTCAGAAACCACGCGCCAAATTGCAAACCGCAACTATGTTTTTTGAAGGGTGTCCCACGGAGGGTTTCGCTATTCTTGTTTGAACGGTTCTTGATTCCTGTACTGCAAACCGGCTTTTCCAATCTGAAATATATCAGCTCACGACTACGATTTTTGCTCTCCACCAATCCCAGGGCCTAAAAGGACAGGGTGAATTTTCAATCCAGTGAGGAATCTTGGAACAAGAAACAGCCTTTGCCCCAAGGCCCAGAATTTTGTAGTGACTCCGATTTCCGCCAGGGCAAGCGTTCGGTGTCGAAGATGTCAGATTTCGACCTGGCGCCTAGAACTCAGTGTTTGCTTGTGGGAATGGTGCAAGACCGGTTTGGGGGTGAATCAGTAATATATATCATTTTGTTCATCCGGAGGTCGAGATGGACCAAATGTTTTGTATTGTTTGACTGTACCCTGTACTCCACAGTTTAGCACTTACCAGGCTTCACCCTCACCAAGGCAAAGACAGGGTGTCAGAAAACAAAGATTGTGTGCAACATTGCTGCTTCTTCACATCATCAGTGGCAGGGCCGAAACAGGTACAGTAAATTATGATACAATGGAATGACATGATAAGATTAAAACAATCGCAATATATCAAATCAAAGGAGACCAACATAGACCAACCACAAAACAGAAAAAAACAATCAAACACAATTTTTAGGAGATTCTTCTCGTGCCCAACGGATCCCTTGCCTGTGAAGCAACCAGGCTGGATCCTAGCTGTCATCAACAGCACCTGTCCGCAGTGGATTGGCGAGCGGCTTGGCGCGAAAAAGTGGTGCCTTGCACAATGGGCGCGTTGTTTTGACCGACGAAAGAAACACATGCATACGCACACACGCACACAGACATTCACTAGCATTCAACCCGAACATGGCGAATGAGCAACAAACACGCGCCCCACACACGAATTCAGTGAACTGCTCCTCTTTCGTTGCAAGGGTCAATCTTCAGTCGGCATCAGGTTTCGACAGGTTTCTTTGGAGCTGACAGCAGCTTGTCGGCGTGAGTTATCATTGGCTTTCCACTGAGAGGTTTGCATGCTGATCTGCCTCTTTTGCATCGCAACGCGGTGACATAGGCGACGCAAGCTGGTGTCTAAATGCTCCGGCCTCTGCTTTCGGATCACCACGACTTGCAAACCGATGAGACTCAGCGAACGTTGCCCACACAAGTGCCCAGATGCAGACAGCCCTTGATGGCCCCCCTGCAGGCACCGCCATTCTGCTGATTTTCTTCGCAGCCTTGCCATTGAATTGCGTAGGTATCCACAGGTCAGCCCTGGGTGGGTTGCTGTAGAGTGAGCGAAATCTGACCTGGCCGCCGTAGCCGCTGGCAGAACCTGTGGCCACTCTGGATGCTGGACGCCGGACACCGCCAGGCACAGTGTCCCTGTGACGAAATGAGCTACGCCCGGACTCCCTGCCCCTGGCAGATTCACGCCACGTCCGTCACTGCTTTTCTTTTGATTGGCCATGATCTCGGGGCTGGTGTTTCTTGGGTTTTGCACAGGTCCGTGCTCGGTTTTTCTGTTTGGCGGCGTGAAGTGCCAATGCTTGCGACCTTGCGCAAGTGCCCTTGGGCAACTGTATGTTGACAAGGGCAGCGCGTTTATTTTGCCACCTGAAGTCCTCGACACACTTCACTAGATTGAAGCAGTGGTCATCCACAGCCTTTTATGCAACACCTTGACGGACAGTACATGCCACCCGTGTACCAGCATGAAGAAGCCGATGATCGAAGAGCTTGTGCTGATATGGTGGAAGCGCTGCTTCTCAGCCCTCACGGGAGACCGCTATCGGTGATTGCCGCCTTCTCTAGGCTGATGCTGGACTTCCCTTTCCTTCCTTCAATCTCTGGCGCTTTAATTCGTGGCCTGCCTGTTTCGCTCTTTCTCTTTTGACCCTTCTCTCACCGTTGCCTTGTTGCCCAAGCTTATAGAACTCTTCGCATTCCGTTGTGCCGAAGGCCTCAGCACACAGTGGATGTGCGGTCTTCAGGCAGCAGGACTTGCAGACCCTCCCGCCCACAGGGTGAACCACAGGGTGCTGGCCAACATTGGTGGCGCTTCAAGAGATACCAACGCCGCTCGCCGTTCCCGAAATGGTGCCAGCTAAGAATGCGCCACTAAAAGGCGCGGCCTCCGCCAACAACTCGCCAACAACCGAGTGGTTGACCTTCTTGAGAAGCTTTTAGTTTTAGTCAGTATTCGGTAGTTGGTGATTGATTGACTTGCTTTCTCGCTTGCTGCTGAAGCTGGACCTATAATGACCTTGAGTATCCTCGAGTCAATTCTTGGAAACACGCGTGCAACTGTTTTCAGCACAAGCAGTTCGATCCCCGCTTGAGCCACAGCTCTTTGGAAAAGAGAGTTCTGGTGAATTCCCGACCTTTTCAACCGTCGTGGAACCCGATGTCGTGTTGGTGAATTGTTGAACACTTGAAAACAACAATCGCAGCTTTGCAGTTCGCCGTGACGCCACAGTCCAGGTACCAAACATACAATGACCATGTAGACTTGTGTGTTTTGATATGTTTTGTGTGGTTCAAAGTTGCATCCTTCCACACGTCGCGCGAAGCAAAAGGCTTAGAAAGAGTGCCACGTGCCGTGGCAGGTCGTCCAACATGGTACTTGACGCACGGCGGAGCGAAAGCGTTTCGCAGGATGTTCATGTGCGAACTGGGGAGGGCACTGGTCTGCCACTTGATCAACAGGGTTGCCACACATGGCAACCCGTTGCCAACTTCCCAGAACCGTCACTGCCAAGTTGGTCCCTCCCTTTTGCCTTTAGTGAGCTTCCTTGCTTTGCGTCTCTTCGCGTTTCCCATTTTTCGTTTCATGGTAGTTATTCCTATTCCTTGTACAAGATAAGTGAAAGAAGAGTGACACAAGCAAAAGCCAAGCAATAGCCATGAAATCATCGAAATAGACACCCCAACTATGATATTTGATGATATATGTGTACAATATAGAGTAACACAGTCTGTTTGTGCTTCCCCCTGATTGTTGTCAGTTTCTCACCTAAGACCTGAGGTAGTTTCTTGTGACGGGGGGATCGCACTCCCAGCCTCATTGAGCCATGACCAAACAGCTCAACCAAAAAGAACATCAAGCAAAACCTATTTGAGTGCATACTTTATGCTATCAACTACACCGACTTTTCAGATGCATCCTTGGTATCAGGATGAAATGAACTTGATTTCGGTGCTTTGGGCTGGTTCTGAACAGGCGGACACGTGAAGCAGATGAAACTTCTGTCAACAAAACATTTGTCAGAGTAAAGAGCCGACCGCTCTGACAAGCTAAATTTTTCTCAGCGAATCTCAGCCAAAATGACATCACCGAGGGCCCAAATGAATGCGCCAGCAGTGACAATGTAGCATAAGCATAGCTCTTTTTTCTTAAAAGCTTTGCTATGCTTTGCTCGCCAACACGTTGATGGACAGCTGCTTGCACGATTCGCTGAACTTGCGATTGGACGCCCTCAAGATCCAGTGCCCGGCGTGTGGGACAGTGTACAGGCGCTCTCGCGGCTTGTGAAGACTCTTGCCGCTAGACGACCTGTTTTCTGCAAGTGCTCGTTCTTTTTTTCTTGGGGTCTGATGCCTTCTGCTTCTTCGTGTTGCTGGGGACGCTTGCCCTGCATTTTGCTCTCTAATGGAGGTGAGGTTTTCAACATGTTTTGTCACTTTTTCTGTTTATTATATAGGTCTTCTTGGTTTTTTGGTGAGTTCTGGTGGCTGTTTGGCTTTAGTTTTTTGTGGCTGCTTGCTTTTTGTTCTTTGTGGTTTCTGGTCGTTTTTATTTCTGTGACTTTCGGCATTGGAGCTTCTTGCAATCTAGTTTGTCTTTTGGTTGGCTGCCGTGCAAGCCTCCTAGACGATACGCTGTTGCATGTGGCAGGATTGTCACTCTGTGCTGTTTGGCAGTGGCCAGCGCTGTAGCTGGCGTGCCAACCCCATCCTTTGGGCATTTTTGTGTGTAGACTGGTGCATTTTGGCAACAGCTGCGTCTTCATCCTTCTTTGCACTCTGAACATACCTCATTTTCCTTTGCGATCCCTCAGGGCCTCTTCCTTTGAGAATCCTTTGCCTCCCTTTTACCTCGGAGGTCCATTCGTTTTCCGTTTAATTAGGGGCGCAAGCGCGTACGCGGCCCACCGCAATGGGATGACACCGTCGGCCAACCAGGAAGGCGTTGCGTCTGGGTTGGTCGACCAGCTGTTTCACGCGCTTGCAGTGGTCTTCCTCACAGCTTGTTGCCTGCGACGCGACTCAGTATGATGAAAGAACTCAATGGTCTTCAGAGTTCTGTGCTGATTCTTTTCACCACAGTTGCGCAGCAAAGAGCAGATTGCGGAAAGACCCACTGGCAAAACGGGGCATTCGCATGACAAGGCGCGCGGTTTCAATGCAAACGCGAAACATATTTCAGCAGCTCAACTTAACGCGAATTGAGTGAGAAGTGCAGGGCTGAGCGCTCAAACAGAGGCATGCCCTTGAACGGTGCGGCCAGGTCTTAGCCTGGCGTGAATCCGGAGCCGAACAGGTGGACCAGGCTGGGGACGAAAATCCAGCGGGAGCGACCTGCAAGGGAAGGCGCAGTGATTTTTAACTACCACCCTGATAAAGTTCGATCGTCCGGTGGTCCGGCGTGATGTGGCTTCATCATGAAAGACATGAAGCGACTCCGGTTGTGCGAGGTTTGCATGAGTAAGCAATCCCAAGTGAATTTAGTTCTTCCACATTTTGCTGGATACCTGCAGATCGATTCCTTTAGGCTTTGTTTGCCGGCCCCTCATTATGCTTAGGAATCTAACCCGTGATCAGTGCGTGGCATCCAACGAAGACATTCGCCCACAGAGCGATTCTGTACAGAGTCGCGGCTAAAAAGGATGCACTGCATCATGTGTGTCAGTGCAGGTGTCCGCATTGAAACGCCCAAATGCACGTTTCCGCTGTCCTTGACGGTGCCCACCTGCAGCTCGAGCGGGACTTCGTGGTGCCCATGATTTGGCACTCAGAATCCGGCACCTCCTTTTAGGGCTGGGGTTCCTTTCGGATATGCATGGTGAAGCAGTTGTCAAGTCGCAGCAGGGTGTTCGTGCGATGGCAGCGTTGGTTTCTCGGACCGGCGTGCTGCGCCAAATGCATTTGCGCTCGTGGCTGCATGTACAACATTCCTGCTTTCAAAGCAGTGACGCGGGCAGCACGTTTCTTCTTCCCAGTATTCGACAAATGAAACACGTATTTGGCCCGGATGGTCCCAGTGAAGGGCTAAGTGATGTGAACGCTCACACATGAACCTTAAGTGTGGTATGTCGTACGAAAAACGTGACGCAGGAAGGCCAGATGACGTTTTACATTTCAAACTCTCACCGTCGTGAAAGAAGCCGCGCGCAACCGTGCCATGAGCAATTGCATGGCATGGTGGCATATGGTGGCCAATTCGGAACTTAGCCCCGGGAAGCGCCTATTTAGGCAGGGCCACAAGGTCATAGGCAGTTCTCGTTGCCGAAGCTGACTGCCAGGGTGGTTAGTGCGTCGTCGCCTTTGGACATCGAGGTGCCGGTTTCAACACACAACCAGAGACATTGTTCCGTTTCTTTCACCAGACGATGCCCTCAATGGTTCATGCCCACGGCTGGGGGGAGGATGTGGGAATTGCATGGAATTGCGAACGCAGCCGGCAGAATGCAGTGATGACGTGCATGTGCCAAGTGATCTTCAATGTGACGATGTCATTTCTCGGTGGGT